GATGCATGATTGAAGATTGTGTGCGTCTAATAAGTGTGTTATATAACGTCAATTCTTTTTTATTGGCCTCTTTTTTATTATATATTTTTTTAAAAAGTGTGCTGTAATACTGTACCATGCACAAAGAAAGTTTTGTTTCCAAAATTCATTTCCTAGATACAAAACAAAAGTAAACATGCAAATAAAAGATCTCTCAAGTTAATGCGACGGGGGAAGTACCAAGTACATCGGGGATTTACAGCAATTTTTAGTGCCAATTCAAATTAGTTTTTACAAACTAAGGTTTAGTTTGTTCATAATAATATATAGTGGCATAGCATACTTAATATGCTATTCACATATATACAGACACATATTGTAAATTTATTAGTTTTTATTTAAGACCATTAATGGTCATACATTTTCTTCTGGGTGTGTGACATTCGATAATTAAGAACAGAGTACGAAAAAAGTAATTTTATTAATTTAGAATTCATATACAGCTGATACATAAAAACTATAACATAAAATAGACGCATATTAATAATAAATTAATTAGCTAATTGTGTTATTGTAAAAAAAAGTTATTTGCATTCTTCATGATACGGTTCTAGAGTTCGCAAGTCTCGCCAAGTGGGGGGTAGGTTGCTGTGAAGATGATTTCCGCATCTTTTACATGAACAACTAAATAACGTATTATAACTATGAAACCAGTGCTAGAAAAAGTAATTGGTTTTTAAAAAGATTTATTAGTATCTAACTATCATATATGAACTATCTTGTGTTGAGGAAAAGTGTGAATTTTAAAGTAAATGTCTTAGTAGTTTATTTTAATTAAGATTAAATTGATTTAAAACTTCATAAAGACAAGGAAATAAATCTGTTATATTTTATTTAAAAGAATTTATAAACAAGTCTTAAAGTATTTAGGCCAAGCGTTTGTTTATACATGAATTATAAATCATGTAACATTTCATCATCAAAAAATTAGGACATAAAGAGTCCAAATAGTAATTAGGAAAAGGAAATAAGTTGTGTTCAAAAACAAAAAAAATCTTTAAAGCAGCCTATTAAGTATTTGAAAGCTGTTCTTTTAACGGTTTGATTATTTACTGCTTAACAACAGGTAACTTAAAAGAAGTCGCCGATTTTCAACATCTAAGAAGTTAAATAACTCAGGAAGGAAGTCAATAAAAAAAAGGAGTGATAGGAAGTCTGAGACGTAAAGGGCTGGTTAGAGACATATTAGAAGCAGAAACAGGAGTAAAGCGGGACAGAAAAGATTTAGATTAGATTACTACTTGCAACTACGTAAGGATGTGACCTTCTGGCATCCAAGAATTGCGAATATTAACACAGGATAAAACGAAATGAAGAGGTAAGTTATTCATTTGTTATTTGTGTAATTATAAATAGGAAGAGAGAACCTTTTCATTGTCTTTTCACTCTTCTACCCAAAATGGTAAGTTAAGTATTACCACTGTTCAATAGTCTTTTAGAATACCAAGTATGCAACTTTTCATACACCTAAGTGTTCTTTTAAATAGAAATTTAGTAATCAATTTACTGAAACTGATTTTTTAAAAGTAACTAATTATAAATAGAAGACGAAAATACATATATTTTTACCATAAAAGATCTAACTGCTAAATCCGGCATGGTTGGAGAGTAAAAGTGGCACATTGCAGCGTGACAATTTTCAGTTACTTTTCGAAAAACTTTATATCGAGACTCAGTCCACAAATCACTGGACTCTGAATGTGCTTTTACAATGACCCATTCAATCATTAGACCTTTGAAAGCTATTATAGCTTTCAGAACACGCCCCAGTGATGCCTAAAACATAATATAATAAAAACTGTATAAATAAACAAAGGCCCAGTAATTCACAAAATTAAAATTAATAAGTACCTGAATAACAGGGTTTGGTACAAAAGGCCGTGTAGCATTTATTGTAACATCAGGGAATAGACGATCAATGCCAGTTATTAGATTTTCAATTACCCTAGGATAGATCTAAATATGAATAGATGAATAAAGCAATAGAAAACAACTTACTCTGGAGGTACATTATGGTTACTTGTTTGTGTTTTTCTTCTTTTTGTTGTGCTGAAGGTTTTGTAGGTCTTATTGAAAGAATTTGTAGCTAAAATATTACCAGCAAGTGTGCTGTATTCTCGAATCTATAAATTATTAACAAACATAAGCCGTGTTTAGTCAAAAATGTTTTCACTTTGTTAGTACCTTATCAGTCCATTTGTAACTGTTAACAAGTTGACCATAAAGGGCTTGCCGTTCTTGAGTAGTCTCCTGACTAAGATATGCAGTGTTACCTAAATTAAAAGGACCAGGAGGAGGTGTAAGATTTGCAGCTGCAGTTTCAACATCTCTACAAACAAAAATTCATACTGTAAATCGAAAAATTAACAATTAGTATGTTAATTACCTTAAATTGTTGTTAACTGTTGTAAGAACATCCTGTAATTCCAACATAAACTTATTCTCTTTACCTTCTTCCCCATGGTCAGCACGTAAACCGTTGCTAACAGTTTCAAATACACTTCCAACATTAGATCTTAAAACCTTAATTGCATTTAAAGCTGTATATAACTGATCTAAATCTCTTTCCATTCTGAAAATATGTAAATATTATATTTTATTTAAATAATGTGACATTAGTATTTGTAGGTTATGTTATGGTTTGTTGTTATAGATCACTGTAAGGTGTAAGGGCCCAAAGCACTATTAGTAGAGATGGCGATAACACAGAGGGCGCTCAATGTTAGAAACTAAAGTTAAAATAGGCTGCCTGTTTGGTTGCCTAACACATTTCAGTTTTATAGATTATAATAATTTATTTGTTTCAATTAAGGGGAGGTCCTTCTTACAAATTATATCATGTAATGTAATTCAAATTAGGTCACTATAACATATAAAACATAACTAATTCCATATCATATATTTGTATTTACAGAAACTAGTCGTAAATCGGTTTACGTCTTTTTAGTTTAGCTTTAATTTGGTAGTATTGCTGTTTAAAGACTAATTGATATAGTATTCAATTCATATTATTAAAACATTGTCTTATATATCGTCCCCTTGACCCCGGCCATTTTTATTGCTACACTATGACGTAGTGTCGGCCATCATTCTTTTCTAATTGTTGCAGTTGTCGGCCATCATTTTTTCTAATTGTTGCAGTTGTCGGCCATCATTCTTTTTCAATTGTTGTCCCATTGTTACTGATGTCGGCCATCATGGTTTTTAATAGATATATAGTAATCAGTGATTAAAATTTAAAGGAACTGTTCCTTCAACATCAGAAATGGCTGATACTAACTTTCATTTACGTAATACTACTTTGCCATGTATTAACAGCACTTCTTTTATAAATAATTTTAATAATCATTTATACACAAATAAAGCGATGGAGACGTTCATTTGTTACAGACAACGGCCATACCACATTGAAAGCACCAGTTCTCGTCCGATCACTGAAGTTAAGCAACATCGGGCGCGGTTAGTACTTGGATGGGTGACCGCTTGGGAACACCGCGTGCTGTTGTCACCTTTTTTTACCTTTTTTGACAAAACACTTTATTTACGTTTATGATAACATTTTATTATCATAATATATTTACTGGTATTTCTTTATTGTAAATTAAATTTTAAAGTTTTCTCTTAACATTTAAAAACAAAGGTTTCTCGTAAGTGTTACCTTCAGCTTATCCTGTAATTAATGTTTTATACTTACTCATTTAACAAAAAAAATCAGTAAGGCTTAAAAAAATAATTTTTATTTACCTATTCCCATAATTTTAAAAATATCTTCACCAATCTTTAGTTGTATAGGTACAGTATTGTAAAAAATAAGGTAAAGACCTGCTATTAATATTTATAAAGTTAAATGTTTTACTTGTTTTAGTTTAAAAAGATTTTATAATATTGATTGTGGTATTTTTGGGTTAATTAAATTTTCGTAATTGATTTTCCTTATTTGAATAATAACTAACAATTCTAAATTCGTTTTTATTAAACGATTATCCAATTTATACCATGCAGATACAGAGATAAATGTACTAACAAAATTTGGTTTTTATAGGTATATTAATGTGTATGTATAAGTATGTTTATTACAATTCAATCATCGTCAGTGTGACTAATATCTTCTTTGTTTCTCGTTATCTGTAAAACACGTCGAATAATCACGACCTTCACGTTAATCATTCACAAAGTTGATTTCGTTGTCCTTTAATACATTTTAACGTTTCAACATAAAATACAGCACAATTTTTACCGATGAATTGTTAATAAAACTAAAACACTGTCCTAAACTAGCCGAGCTCTCAAAATCTTTTAAACAAAGGGGAACAACCCTCAAAGACTTTAAATTGCATTTATCTATTTGTCTATAGTAATTTCGTTAAATAAAGAAAGATTTTTTTTTCGTTTAATAGACATTTTATTTAACACAATGTATATTGTAATTAATATATTTTAACTATCATTGATAAAAATGTACATATAATCAATATTGTTACACTACTTTAACGTAAGTGTGTGATAGGGTAGACGAATTTTTTTACCCTCCACTTTTCAAGCAGAAGTTTTAAACATTAAATGGCTTTAAATGTATAATTCACCCCATTACTATTTATTCAAAAATAGTTTAGGTATTTGTTTTTTTTTTCAGATAACATAAATCAGACCCTATGCCGTATGTTATATTTACACTAGTTCTTTAATAGCAATTTTTAATTTTATTAATATGCAATTTTTCTTAATACATATATCAAAAGTGTATCAAATTGTAAGGATCTGTTATTTCTACGAACTAAGACTTATTGTTAACAGTCTTCTTGATTTTTTTTTTGATATCGTATGACACGGAATTGCTACAATATATTTATATAAATTATGGCTATTCTGGTGGAACAATTATTATATTATTAATCGAAGTTGGCAAATTACTAAATTGATTATTTATCAAGGACGAAACTAGTCGTGCCAGTCGGATCCGAGCTTTGGTAATAAGAAAGCGTGTTTTCCGCTACGTCCTCGCGTAGTCCTTTAAAGGATGTTTTAAATTATTATAACTGTATCAAAATTGTTATGTGATGATACGGTTTAATCGAAAACGAAATTGCAGTTACAAATAATGGATTATGTGATTGAAATTATGGAGTAATTACTACAAAAAAGAGAGAGAACCTACGGAAAATTACCGTCATGGAAGGTAGGCGTTTTTACTTCCAAATGTTGTTATTTATTGATTTTATTTAGGAATTGTTTTTTACGACGAAAAACCAGGCATCAGATTTTTAAAAATCTAGCACCACTACCAATATCACCTCAATTTTTATAAAGTTTATAGTTTTTGCCCTTATTATGTTGTATATACGGGTGAATTTTGAAAACCATGGTATATTTTTTGTAATTATAATAATAAATTGTAAATCTTAATTACTTCTAGCATGGCTCTCAAAACAACCCTGTCTCGAAATGTATTTCTTATAAAAATTTAAAACGTAAAATTTTCAGTCTCTTGCTTGAGAGTGAAAGTTGATAGGCAAATTTACACTGCAATATTAATTTATAATAATTATTTCTCATAAATACACGGAGAAAATTAAATTTTCATGACAACGCAAAAATTACAATTTTCTATTGTAAGTGACTGAATTTCCCGTAGAAATAGTACAATTTATTAGGTAACTTGTAATAATCTCAATTTTGACATGTTTCTTTAAAGATTATTTCAAGTTCCTTAATTACTACAATTAAATTTGTAATATCAACTAAATTTTTTTTATTTTTACAAATTCGGGTCGAAATTGTAATTTTTATTATTTTCGCTTACGAAGCTACGGGCAAGTGGGATAAATTGTAAATATCGCTTTAATATTTAGGTAAATTTTCGTTTTTCATTTTCTCCGTGTACCAACGCAGAAGTGACAAGCTGTGCTTAGGATCGTAGGTTACATAGTTTTGTTAAACATTTAGAGGTAAGGACAGCGAACGTCATTATTTCACATGTCCTGTAAATTTGCAGGTTTTGGGATAGCGTTGGCGTCAGGATGTTTTCTCTAAACAGTAGCAGCAACCCCTAGTANACATTACTTAATATTTCATTTAAAAATTTTGTACTGAATTATATCCTTTAATCATTCTTTTTACAAATAAAAATACGTTGAAAATATTTGTAATATATATTCCAACCAATTTACCGTTCTTCACAGGAATTAATTGAAGTACATTAAATAGGTCTCATTGTAATATGTTGAAATTAGACCTGATAGGGTAATACTGCTTTTATTAACTGTATCTTTTTAGTTAAAGAAAAAAAACTCATTGGTATCATATCGGTTCTAATTTCTACATAAAACACAGATAACAGTGCAAATGAGATCCTGTTTTATCCTGTACCCTAGTAAGATTCTCGTAAAAAATACTTTGAATTTATGCAGGTAATCTTGTAGTTCTATGACATGTGAATATTTTACCCTGGGACATACAACTTCCTAATTTTCAGAAGAAATATTCAAAATATTGTCTATAAGAGTCTTAATGATCTCATCGTCAGATATCACCTTCACAATTACTCATAATTTATGAAGGACAAACAGCTTTGATGAAATTAAAATACAATAACAATTTTAAACAAAAAATTTACTATTGCACAACTAAATTATTGTAGTATTCCTATGTTTCACAATCGGCACTGTCACTTTGTATTTACTATAAATTATTATTTTAATACATGATATTAATATCACTCTATTCTTCGTCATATAATTAATGTAAACGTGAAATACTACTCTGTCACCTTTCCAAACATCCTACATAGATTTTCAAAAGTGATCTAATATTGAAGTAGTAAATTTCACCCTTTGCAATGGTTTAGGTGGATAATATTTAATTTTGAAATAAGCGGGCTAGGGTGTCGTAAATTAGCCCAGCTTTTGTTAATGTGGGAAATCATTCAAAAGTTCGCGTCCATTTTTACCTAATTTAGAAATATGATATTTTAACTTTGAAAAAGGCTCTCGATGCGTAAAATTCCGCTCTTTCCAACGGTGCATATGGAATTAAATTTAAATCTGANTTTTGTTTTTGCCTAAACAATTGCTTTATTGTTGTGTTTCTTTATTTCAGGTGTTCGCATAATGATTGAATTTCGTAGATGATCGATAAGGTTCACATGTACGTTTGGATTGGTAAGTTCTTTTAATTGTTAGTTTGTTAACAAAACGATAGAATTCCTTTTTATGTTTTAGATATAACGCCGATGATATTTTTATTCTTGGTGCCTGCAAATCTACATCCTTCAGCCATGATGGGGTCGAAATGTGGTTCCTTTTTCCATCAATGTTTTCCAAACTGTCTGAGCTTTTCGTTGGGTGATTTTTTTGCTTCAATGTGAATATGTACTGGAGTAAAAGTGGGTTTATTGAACAAAATATTTATTAACGTCCTGTTTTCTATTTCGTAAATTTATTAGTAATAAGTCAAAAATCTTGGTTTGTGGATACTTACCTTTGCATTTCATAATTTTTCTTTGATTTACACTTTTCCAAATTATTAATTTGATTGTCCTTTTTAATGCTCTTGCCTTTTTATTTGATTTATCAGTAACGAACTAAGTAATATAACAAAATCGGCACTAATTAATTTTTTATTGCCTATTTTCTAAATTTAATTCAATATATTATTATAAGTTAATATTATTATATTTCTTATTCGGTGTTTATTAATGGTAGTAATTATTATACGTAATTAAACTTTT